ATTATTGGCTGGCAATTCCTGTTTCACCTTCTACTTTTCAAAGGAACATCAAATGTTTGTAAGAAAGCTAATTTCAAGGGGTAATGATAACTTCATTTACACTAGAATTATGATGTATGTTAGCTTATGTAAAATTTCGAAGAAACAACTCGACTTTGCAATACCTCTATGACTTTCGCAGTACCTTATTTAGTATTCCATTAATGGTTTAGGTGCAATTTACCAAATCATATTTGTTCTAGGCTGCCAAGAGAATAATAATTACAAACAGGCCATTTTGAGCAATTTTCTTTTCCTTGTAAGTCTGCTTTTTTGTGCATTTTAATATGTTTAAAGCCTTAGTAGTAAAGTTTTTAAAGTGCTTTTTTTCCCCCCAAACATTCTGTTTGTATATTGTGAAATTCCCTACAATCCCTATTATGAAACCCTATTGTGGTTCTTAATGTATTTTAATGAAATGTGGTAGACTTTTACTAAACATTAAAAGTCTTCTATACAGATTTTTCAGTTAAGTATCTTTACTAAAAATTTATCTGTGAATATATGTAGTTAAGAATGTTGAATGCTCCTAGTGTAAAGTGATTTTCATGTTGAGATTAAACATACTTTTCATCATATGAAAGTTTTCAACTTTTATTTGCATAACCCCTAAAACCTTAATAAATGCCAAACATTCTTTTTTTTTCAATAAAGCTTTTTATTTTGTTATTTTCTGTACCCTAACTATATAGTCTTGGTTGATTTGACCCTTTGTTTTTCCAGAATGACTGCAAATTGATGCAGAAAACTACATTTTTTTATTCTAAATAGCTTAAGGCTGGTAACAGTTTACATCTGTTTATACTTAATTTTTTATTACACTTTGTACTGTGTCTAACTAATAATTACACCACACGTTGTAAGTCACTTTGCAAATGCATAGCTCATTTTATTGTATTGAATGATGTAACATAATATGCTGGTGAGCATGCCTCATGAAAACTTTATTATTTTTTTTCATCATATTACCTAATATAACCTTAATTAACCTAATAAGTTTATACTTTTATGTTTTAGTTGCTTTTATAACAATAAATACACATGAAAACTAGAAATATAGTGCATACATTTGATCTCCTTTTTTTGCTGTCGATTGCTGATGAAATTTAAAATAATTTACGTTTAATTTCATACATTTTCGATGGGTGGTGGATAAAACAGATGATCTCATGCTAAGAGAAAACGTGTCACATGGGTCACACTACTGGAAATTCAAGTATTTTTTTTGTATTGTCTTCTAG